AGAGCGAGCTTCCCATGATGGGGGGTCCTTCTGTTTACTTATTGGCTGGGAGGGGAGCATGGATTCAACTCACCCCAACACCCCCACCTCACATCCCCCATCCGCAGGTGACAGCCCCAAAGGCCTGCCCCCCCGATAATCCCCAGCTGTGTGGGGGCCCACTTCACGATCCTGGTTTCTATACTGCTCCATTTCCTCCTCTTGTTGAATGACAGGGCCAGGTTTTAGGATAACTTTTTATAAGAGTTTAAAAAGTGTCTTTTAAAAATTAGCTTGCTTCCTTCCTATTTAATATAAAGTATATATATATTTTTTTATTGTCTGATTGGTCAGTTTCTGGGTGGCACAAGCTTGTGATTGGATGGGCCACTGCGGTCTGGCTGGAAGCGCCACGCCCAGGCCAAAGCCCAACCATAACCACTGTCATTCACAATGCAATTAGAGCCATTGCTGGTTAGTGACAGGAAAATGACAGGGTGACTATGATTGACTCACCTGCTTTAGAAATCCAAGCCAACAGGAGGTGTGACTCCTGGGGGCGTTTTTCTGGTCCCACGGAATGAATTATGGCCACTGTACCACTGCACCCAGTACCATACTTTCGGTACTATTTTGAAGTACTAAAAGTGCAGCACTTCAAGATACTGCCATTAAAAAAAACTGGTACTGCCACTGAATGACATCACAACGTATTTAGCGTATTTTGTGCTTAATTAAAAAAATTGCTATAATATATTATAGAGCAGGGTGACGTGCAATATTAATACCAGCATTGCATGTTATGCATATGCAAGGACAGTTTAGTCAGCTGGTTTGAGATCAGGCTTTGCCAAGCCTTCACATTGTATTGCAGGGGGTTTAAGTTTCACCAAAACATTCTTACTCTGTCATAGGAGAGAAAACTTAGCAGACATTGCAATTTTAATGATTGTTCCTTTTGAAGGTTATCTTGTATATGTTTAAAAAATCAGTTTAAAGTTTACTCTCGTTGCTTTTGCATGAACGCTGCATGCTCTTTCCGAGCCAATCATAATCATTGTCATACTTTCTGTTTAAATCTCTCCTAGATGGGTCTATGAGCAATTTATTACATACTCCTTTTTTTGCTTTATAAATATCCCAATATTTATTACAACAAATCACAGTCTGATATTAGAATTTTGTCCAATATCGTGTAGCTCTAGTATCATAGGAAATTTCTTGTCATGCCATCCAGACCTTCGTCTGGTTCCTCTGAGCAGATTGCAGTTAAACTTTGGGTCTCTTCTTTTGTCCGCACATACATTATTATTACTTTAAAAAAAAATTGTTTATCGTTGGTTTCTAACTTTTTTCAACATGGCGGTTGTATCGTCTTTCAGAGGCAGGCAATTCGCCTAACAGCCGACAATGAACATAAAAGAATCTGCAAGTCCCACCCCAAAGTACCAATGAAGTACCCCAGCTGGTTTGGCACTTTTAACTGGAACTTTTGGTACTGGAACTTTTGGTACTGGTACTCGACCGGAAGTCAATGGAAAAGAGAAAGTACCAAAAGTACCGTACCGAAAGTACTGTACCTGGTGCAGTGAAAGTGCCTTAAGGCCATGCATGTGGACATGGGACTCTTCCAAAAGGGCAGAAGGCAGCAGGAGACGAACATAGAGCTGGCAATCTGGTTAAGGCGGGATGGATTCGAAAACCTTGGACATGTACAACGGAGCAATCTGATTGGTCCTCCCTTCGATACCCGCCAGGTCACGATGTGGCAGATGGTGCGTTCGTTTTTGTCTCGGAACTCGGAAATTCCGAGTTGAGTGACATCACGTCTGACAATCTCCCGTTCGAGCTACCCACATCTCGGAACAAACATGGCTGCCTCCATGAACACGCTGCTGTGTGTTGTTGCTTTATATTTTAGCAGATTTGGAGTGAGATTATTTTTTCAGAGAGACAAACAAACAAGAAACGCGGACTAGTCAAACCGCATTAAAAGCTTTATAAAATATTTTAGTACATTCATAGCGATATTCTTTTTTCGAGAGGCAAAAAAACTACAAACAAGCCAAAGACACTAACAAGTCTGGTAAAAATAGGATACTGTTTACGGTCATGATATGGTATTCTCTAAATCGAACACGTGCAATTACATTTATAACAATACAATTAACAAAATAAACATTTTTAAAGATTTATAAAATAGAATTACTGTTGAGTGTGTAAGCCGCCATGTTGAAATTACGTCACTGGGGCAACTCGGACAACAAAATCTTGTCCGACATCAACGTCATAAAAGAGGCGTGTTTCCGACTCGACGTTTTCATCCGAGTTCCGACTTGGAGAGAAATAATCGAACGCACCATGAGGCTTCCAGAAGGTCACCCCAGAGCCAGGAAGTCTTTTTAGTTCTGCACCCCTCCCCCCCCACACACTAAGGAAATGCAGGTCAGAGGTGAGGGAGATAAGAGCGATCCAGATGCCCCCCCACCACCACCACCATTGATCACTCCCTCACACAGAGTCCCTTTGTCTCCTAGGGGCCACGTTGTGTCATGGAGGGTGGGGTTACCTGGTTTCAGGTTCCCAGCGAGTCCCAGGACGGTGAGGTCGCGTGATTGGCACATGGGCGGCTTCGGAGAGAGAGAGAGAGAGAGAGAGAGACAGCTTTACAGAAAACGCAGCTCCGAAGCCGTCCATCTGGGGCCGCCGCAATACCGACTATAGCCACTAGGGGTGTTGCAAGCGTGCCAGAAAAAAAGTCTACTGTGTTCGTGGACAAAAAAATAAAAATAACGCCACAGGCTAAACGGTTTCGGTGTCGCCGAGTTTATATTACAATCTTTTATGCTGTTGTCTAAGATAGCCACGGAAAAAAACCCTGCAAAATAACGGCCCACGGGCGCTCGTTAACTCGGCCGTCAGATGGTGGCATGGCCGGTCCCATTCGTGCATGTGTCCCTTTCACCCGCCCCTCCAAGCCCATGTGTGAGTGCTTCAAACAGATATGCTTTGCAGTTGTGATAACTGTTCACTATACGTATGTTTCAGACATTTGTAATTTGTAATTTCGGCATGCCATTAATCACTGTATCACCTGCATCCCATACTTGTCACAGAGGAAGTGGGACTGTGTGGGTTTGGCCCTTCCTTGCTTGATGGGGGGGGGGGCTGTTGCTCGCGTGCCATGATGGAGATTGGAGAGTCAGTGGTGGGAGGTGAGAGAGTAAACAGTGAAGGTAAACACGCCCCCCTTGGTGGGCGGGGCTGCGGAACTGCCGTTGCCATGGTTATGGTATTACACTGGCCTCCGGCCCCCAGCCCACAAAACGTCCCTTGTACCCCAACCCTTCCCCCGCAGCATTCAGCTTGTCAGCCCGCCCCCCTAAAACTGCTCCCCTTCCTGGATTTGTGAGGTCAGGCCTGAGGGGGAGGGGGTCAGGCGGTGGGAGCTGGGCTGGGGGGGGGGTCAGGGTTCAGGGTCTTTCTACGGCTCAGCTATTCACACTCCTGAGCTGAATGGGAGGCATCTTTATCCCTGACCGTCACCATGGCAACACTGCCGGCCGCCTGTAGTGGGAGCATGGCTCATGGGCGGGGCTTCCTGTTTTAAATCCACTGGAAGATCCCCCCCACTGGACGTATTTGTCTCGCCAGGCTGCTGAGACTGTCTGCATTTGTCAGGTTTTCCTTCTGGGGGGGCATTCCTGGGAGGGCCACTCAACTCTGCCTGGGTCATGTTACCGCCACCCACCCCCCACCCCAACTCGTTGGGCACCGGACAAGCTTGCCCACCCCACCAATAAACATTAGGTTCTTTCACTGGTGGTTTTAGCTGGGTTTCCATACTTGCATGGTTTTAATTACCACCCCCCACCAACAGGGCCCCTCTGTTTCTCCTCTACCTCGCCCCCCCCCCGCGC